ATAAGTGCTGTACAAATTGTCAAAGCTTAAGCCTCGCTGAGATCACTCTCAATGTTTAGAGAGACCCATGTACACGAAGCATAGGTTGTCCAAAACTGCAGATTGTTAACTTCAACGAGTGCTGTGCCGATTCAGAGTCCAGTTTCCCCGCTCGAGTTTGACATGCAGCACAGAACATTGCTTTCGAAAATGGGCTTCACTTTGTGAAAGCCTCGTGCCGCTTTTCAAGTGTGATCACCGTGTCCACATGCTGCTCGCCTCGCCTGCAAGTGGTCGCTCCCGTTCGCAACTTTGCTGCGATTTTCACGCGGCCTCCACTCAAAAAAGAGTTACTCCTCCTCCTACTTTCTTTGGTGGTAGGCTAGTGAAAACCTAATTGGGTCAGTGAGTCACATACCTGCCTGCTCATCCCATCTCATCTCAACGCAGCATGCACAAGAAACTTGTAGTTGTAGGGCAACTTGATCCTGAGTTGACGTCAAGAAGTGGATCGGCGCCAATCCATGCGGATATCCAAGCGGGCAGGCGAGCAGATTCCGTGGATCAGGATTCTCCTCTCAATCAGCGAGTGACCGCCAAAAGGCTAGCGCCGGGGCTACTTGCTTGGCATAATGCTGCTGCATGGAAGGAAGAGAGGAAGGGAAGGAGCAGGACGTACATTCCGGCGTCCTCTTCTGCTGGCTGCATATATGCCACGGTCAAAGAGGGCCGGCATCTATCTGGTTTCGGGCCGGGCCAAAAGGGAGGGAGGAGCATGTCGCCGGCTGTCGGGATTCGTCTAGGGCTGTGGCTTGAACAGCATGATCCATCTCTCTCATTCTGGGCCGCTTTTGCCCGTGCCTTCGCCGGAGCGAACCGGTTCTGGTTGCACGTAGCCTTCAGAAAAGCTCTGGTTGCATGCGGGCGGATGCTTGTCGTCGTCGTCGTGGGAGTACGTACTATTAGCAGCTAGCGTAAGCGTACGTTGTGCCTGCCATTTAACAACTTGGAGTGGTATATTCTCAGTCCATTCATCTTTCCTGGGTCATTATGTCTACGTAATCTTGTTTTTAATCAGCGGTCCGAATAAATCCCTCTTTAGACCGCCCATTTTTCTAAAGGAAGATTCCGTAGTGCATGGCGTGTTCTAGGAGATATTCGTGTTCGTTAATAGTAAATCTATTTCAAAATCATAATCCTACCACCCGTACACGTGCGTCATGATTAGTTTGTACGAGCTATACATGATACTCTTCCCATATGGCTATGTCATCACTCGATGCGCAGCCCGATGGTATTCCCCTCTTGCCGAAAAAACAATGATAATTCTCCCTATGCATCGCACAGAAAAGCAGTGTTGCTAAATTTCAACCGATTGAGACTTTGTTATGTCTAAGTCAATGCTATATTCATGAGATTTTGTGTTAAGGTTCACGCAAAAAAAATTAGTTTTTTTTCTTTTTTCTTATTTATATATTATGTCACTTGACTGAGACTTGGTTAAGTCTCAGTTGACTGATACCTATCCATATGGTTATGTTTTGATTGTTACATTTTAATTTATTTATTTATTGAAAAGAAGGGTCACCCAACCTCTGCATCAGACATTTAGCATGAGTTACATGCTGCTGTGCCATACTGCCATGTGCTTCGAAAACTCGGTCCTGCCGAACCTTCCTTTGCCCATTATGTTTCTTTCGGACGATCTGCTCAAAGATCTGATGCATGCATCTTGATCTTGAGAAAGAAAGAAAGAAGTGCGATCTCAAGTACCTGACCAAATCTTGCATGCATTCAGCTAAGCGTCTCGCACCAAGATCAGATCCCACGGCAGGCTCATGATCCTGGAAGAACATAGAAACATTCCACTAGAGCAGCATCTCGATCGGTTTTGACATCGCGGCCTGGTGGGTTTGACAGTTTGACACACACCGCACGTACTCCTACTACGTAGGTAACGTACGTACGTGCGTGCCTGCGGTGGTCAATGCAAAATGCATGCAGGTTGGTCGGGCGTGCGGTCACATCCGCTAAAGATATGAGCGAATATTTTTCGTCGAGGAATAAAGCTGTGTGTTTTATCTGACGGCGATGTCTGGCGGGACGGGAAACAAGTGGGCGATCGATGGAACGCTTCTCTGACCGGCGGCAGTGCTCTGAATGTGTTGGGGCACGGCGCAAAGAGGGGTGGAAGCCAGGATTCCCGAGAGATCTTCGGGGATAGATCGGGATTCTCCGCCGCGATACATGTCGATCTCTTGACGTCTAGCATATCGCACCATTATCACATGGGTGCCATATGGACTTTGGTCTGCATGCTGAACCTTGAAATGCCCAAGGGCCGTGGGGCGACGCAAGAATTCTCAAGTTTGGATATGGTGAATTGGTGATCTTGTCCTGTGAAAACAGAATTTCTGAAGTTTCCATCTACGTTTTAGGTGATTTTAAGTTGGTAAATCTACTAACTATAGTGATAAAAACGCTTTAGCAAATCTAAGTTGGTTGAGATGTTTTTATGTCTACTAAAAGCAACTCAAATAGCTCCATTTAAAAACATCTCGTAAAAGTGGTTTTACGGGATGATTGCATAATTTAGGGGAAGCTGTCTGCAGAGAGCTACTTTTGTAAATTCCTGTAAATTTCTTCTCCTAAATTTTTAACTCTCCTATTTTCCATTAAAAAATACAAATGGCATTGCATATGTCTAATATCATCGTGATAATTCAAACAATGGTAGATTGAACAAACAGTGGAAGACGGACGACACGGTAGGGGGCCAACCTAGATCAGTGGTGGCAGTGACAGTGGGGCTCCTCTTGGCCATGCCCTTGTGCTGGCCTGACTCATGTCGGCGGCCAGTGGCTGCTTCGATAGGGCGCCGGGGATATATAGGAGGCGGGGTCCTAGGCAAGCCAGTCGTGGTAGTAACCGGCGGCAGCGACGAAAGGCGGCCATAGCTACGGTAGGGCACCGGGGATAGGAGGCGGAGTCGTAGGCAAGCTGGTCGTGGTAGTACGCGAGGAGGCGACTGGAAATTTTCATGATCGTTGCAGGATGGGGTGGGGTGACTATTTATAGATAGAGCAATCCTAATGTATGACCAATAGGGGCCTACGCCACTCAACGGTCAACCGATACGTGTTCAATGGTCGAATTTCAAACTCACAACTTGAGGAACAAGTAAAGTTGACTCAATTGTCCGTGATTTTCTCTCGCAGTCCAGAAGAACATCGTCTGTGACTACGAGTAGAAACACGGTTCATGAAGAGATTTCTCTCGACTTCACTCAGAGATAGGTT